TAATAATAGAATAATAAATATATGTATACAATACAACCATATAAATTGCTAATAGTTTTCATTTTGTATTCAGATGAGAAGTAAACTTAGAAGTAATTAGATAATACTAATTATGCGTAAGTAAATGTTCACTTAATTACGGTACACTGCTACATATGCGGATAATCGCATTTTAATAGAGACTTTCACTACTTAAAACATATGTATGTTTGCATGTGTATGTGTATGCATAGTGTACAGTTTATATTTTTAATTTCTTGTTTATGACATATTTAATTTAGTATATAATTCTTTGTTATACTCATCGATATTGACAATGCTTATGTCTTTTAAAATTGTTTTAAATTTTAATTGTTTGTTTTTGTTTTTTTTTAGTAGATGTTTAATGTTTAATGACTTGTCTTAGCACAGTGGTGTGCAGCAATAGTTAGCTTTGATTTAATTTTATTTAATTAAATTTCATTTTACTTATTTTGGCAGATATATAGTAAATTGTGCTCACTCTTTTTCTTTTTTTTTACTTTCACTTGATTTTTATTTCATTTACTTATGTTTGTTTGCATATAAAACGCTGAAAATATCGTACAACTACAGCAAAATACAGCCAACAACAAAACTTGATTTCGCTTTTTGAGTATTGAACTAAATGTTTGTGCAAACGCCGATACATTTGCGCAAAAAAAGTAGCTAATTTGCACATACATATTTATGCATGTGTCCGTATGTGTGYATGCTTGTAGGTAGTATAGTTTTACGTATAATTAAGTATTCGAGCATTTGAGCATTTGTAAGTAGTAACTGTGCCTCATTGTCATTTCATTCATTGTATACAATAATTATTGATTTGAGTTAGTTTAAAAATATAAATTAAAATAAAACAGAAAAACCATAACAAAACTAYGAACAGGTCGATTAGGCGTACATATGCAGCTGACCACGGCTGTACTTAAGGTAGTTTAGGTAATCGTAAATTTAATTGAGTTAAACCGTTAGCATAGTGTCTTTTATGTCTTATTGGAAAGAAAACTATATATACGTACAACTAATAYAATATTTATACATTTCAAATTCAGTTATTTTGTTTCAATTTTTGTTCAACATTGATGTTGCTTAACAGCATTGACGTTTGTACTTGGGCGTTTGGAGTTTGGAATAAGGGTATTCATACTCCCACGTCATTTGCGGCAATCCTCGTGTGGGCTTCTAACAAATTCAACTACGTTTATGCTACTAATTTATATATATGTATATATATATGTGTGAGTATGTATGTATGTGTGGGTAACTGCGAACATAGAATACAACTATAATGCTAAATAGCCTTATGGGCTTGCACGTGTTTGAGGAAATGTACGCGCATGACATATTGTGACGCTTTTTCCATACAATATTTGATAGAAATTTTATTTCCGTTTACAATTTACCTCGCGAAATGCACACATATGCACTTCTTCGTATACACATACATGGTGGAACTCGTATACTTGGCATACAACTGCGTGGCTGCTTGTTCATAACTAAAAGGGAGTGGTGCGGGCTAAAATCGTTTTTAATCTCACTCGTTATCACTTGATTTTCTGATTTTCATTAATTAATTTTTGTTTTTTTGTTTTTATATGCCTTATTACTTCTTTTAATTCAAACATGCTTAGTAAGTAATAAATTTTATTTCCTAATACATTTACGTATGTTTGTGAGTATGTATAGTTTTAAACCAGCTTACAGACAAACATACATATGTATGTATGTATATGTATGCATTTATGTCTATAACTAGTGTTTGAAAGGATTCATGTTTTGCTTTTTGTTTCTTTTGTTTTTTGTTTTGTTTTTGTTTTTAGTGGAGCGCGAAAGACAAGTGTATAAATAATATATATTTATTTATGTATGTAATATGCATATTTTCAATTTATAATCTAAACAACTATAACAACAATCATATATGCAAGTATGTATGTATATGTATTATAATTTTACTTTAACGATATTTCATTGCACCTTTTGATAATTCATATATATATTTAAAAWTTTTTTTTAATGCACAAACGTCATTTTGAATGCATTTCTATGCACTAATTATGATAGCGTTTACTGCACAGTATTGAGCTCGGTTGATTTCAATGGAAGTACTTAGTTATCAGTGGCAAAGTATAGTATATATTATGTTAGAAGTCATAGCAAATTTAAAATTTGTTGTTTCAAAGCAAAAAATAAAAAATTATAGCATTTTTTTAAATCAAAGATATATAGTACTTAGTAATTGTCAGAAGTTTAAGGCTTCCCACTAAGTCTGGGACATTAAAAAGGATCGATATTTTTAAATTTCGATACAAAAATAGCACAGTAAAATTTTAAATGGATATTTTAACAAGTTTTTGCGTTACAGCCTTCTAAAATATGTTTGTATATGTATATTATTAAATTAACCATTTTAAAAAAATTAAAAAAAGAACATCAAAAAATCTCAATAAATTTGCGCTATTAATTTATTTTTCTACTCATTTTACTTGAAGCAGCATTTCCCGAATTCGCTGCAGTGATTACTCGGGAAAAATTATCGAAACACACTCAAATGTTTGCACATTTTTTAATTTTTAGTTTTTTGTCGATCTTCCAGTGATATTTTTTTAGGTTTCATGCATATAGCAGGCCGTAATTACTGCAGAAGCGGCGAACCTATACTTTASCGCCGTTGGGGATCAAGTACCATTTGAAAAGTATTTAATTTTGCTTTTCAAAAACATACTGTGTTTTCTTAAAATATGTATAATATAAATATACCTTAAAAAAAATTAATAAAATTTAATTCCCAAAATGAATTTTTGTATGCTGACACACTTGATGGGCCACTGGTGGGCAAAAATTGTAAGACTTTGTTCATAATTTTAAAATTCTTTACTTCTTTTTGCACATCTACGATATTTGTTGAAAATTTACGAAGAATCAAAGCAGTATACGACAATGCATTATCGTTATGCAAAAACCAAGAGTTGTGGGCYAATAATTTCGGCATTTTTATACGAATAGCTTCGTGCAAACGACGTATATACTCAAAGAGCTTTCCTTGTTAACAGTTTAGCTGGTCGAAAGAAATTCGGATTGCACCATTCCACGCTATTCGAAAAAACTATCAACATAACCTTGATTTTTGACCTTTCTTTTTTTGGTTTGCCATTTCTTCACAGACGTTAACGCGACGCAGATTTTTGAAAAAATTTAGTGATTTTAGAACCAACTATTGTGCTTTCACTTCTTTTAGGCCCAAATGATCTTTCAAAATGGTTTTAACTAAACGTCGATTCTTAAGCACCAATTCCTTTATTTTATTGACGTGTTGATCATCAGTTGGTGTTGGCCGTCCTGGACGTGGTTCGTCGTCAACGCGTTCTMGAATAATTTCACTCCTCGTAAAAATCGCTRAATGCACWTTATGTACTTCAGAAAGATTATCAGTGYTTAGTATACGSTTATCTTTCTGAAGTACATAAAGTGCATTTAGCGATTTTTACGATGAGTGAAATTATTCGAGATGTGACATTTGGCACAGATGTCATTRATAGTCATACCAACTCAGAAAAAAAATATTCCGAAATTTAAATTGAAAAGTCTTACTATTTTTTGCCCACAGTATGCTTTTGCGTTGAGCGACAATTTTAACCCTTGAGTTATTTTTTTGTTTTGCAAATAATAATCGTTAAAAAAAAGCTTAACTAAATACAATTTCAACTTCATAGTCTACGATGGCAAACAAATAACAATGTATATTTTCATAAATTAAATCATAAAAAATTGCGATTTTGTAAACAATTTGCCTAAATCACTGCGTTCCTAACCTAATTGTTTTAAATTAGTTAATTTAACATATAAATACACATATCAATATCACAAAAATTTGTCATTTAGAAAGAAATTTAGAAATAAAATTAATGCTTTTAATTCAAACTCAACCATAGTTGTTGTTGCACTCTACACAGTTCCAGTAGTACAAAAAAAAAAAAAAATATGCAGTTTTTTGTAACTTGAAAAGTAGACATGGTTGTGCATATATGTATATATGTATATGAGTGTATGTGTTTTTGTGTGAGTTAATGAAATTACAAATTTTATTTATATTTATTTCTCTTTGTGTATTTTACTGCTAATTAATTTTCATCGGCGGTTTGGTTTTGCTTTTTAGGAAATACTATCAATTGCCATCGTTTTACCGTTTACCTCCATCTCTTACACCCACAAGAATTTCCTAAATGCTCGCTTCCATTATTCAACATTTAATCATTTCGCTTAGCTAATGTCTAATAACTTCACATTTACTACATAAATCACTTAATTTTAATGTAGACATTAATTCAATTGTAAATCTATAATAAAAACTCTCTTCGAAAGTAAAACAAATTCAATTACAAACTACATGCATACCTATGCATTACAAGAACAACTACACGCACAAAATACAACACTCGATTATTAGAAGAATATGGCGATTTTTAGAGTCATCGCGTTGCTTCTTCTTCTTCTTGTTTTAAACATTTTTCAACTACTAATAGAGTCTTCTTAGAGAGTTACATTGCGTTGCATACAAAATGAATTTGTATGTATGTATATATATATTCACAATGTTAATACACATTTATTTTAGCAGACTGTGTTTTGATAATGACTTTAAATATGATTAAGTATTTAATTAAATTGTAATTGTAATTAACTTTAAGATTACGTTACATACAATAACTCTGCGATTGTCAGTTTCAAATTTCAAAATTTCAAATGTATGCTCACTTGTCATTTACTCGCACATGTACTTCTGTTGTGCTCACTATATTTTCTGTTTACATTGCATGGTTGCATTTTAGCACTTCGGTAGTGAGTTTGTTATACTACATACAGCGTTGTGGGATACACGTTGCAATTCGGAGTCGGTCACTTGGTGACCATATACGTATATAATATTTGGGTAATTGGGTTGTAGGGCTGGTGTCTTCAAGGTATTGGGTAGACGCTACTGGGTTGAGGGGGTCTAAATTCAGGATTTTTGCTCAAACGTCGATTGTTGTTGTTGCTGGTGTTGATGGTGACTTTGAATCGCGCTTAGCTGTTGACTTTGCGCAGACGCAACTGTGTTATTGCTGCTGGTGGACGCTTCAGCGRCTGATTGTTGTTGCTGTTGGTGTTGCTGTTGCTGTTGCTGCTGCTCCTGCACGCGATGCGTCTTCATGTGAGCGCTTCTACTCTTCACTTTATTAAAAACTCTRCGAGTGCAAGACGAAATGTCAAAAAGAAAAGAGAAATGCAAAGTATACCGTTAGATTTAATGAACACAGGCAATAAATGCAAAAGACAAACACAACTATACACAGAGGCAAACTCGAAAAATCAGTTACGAGTAATTGRGCATCACAAAGCAACTGAGGTATGGCTAGGTGGTAAAAGCAAGGTGGTCTAGAGATGATAACGCACCATATGTGCTAGGTATGTAAGCAAACACAGAGAAAACATAAGCAACAACAAGAATGTGGGGGGAYGTCTATGAGGATTTACAGGTTGCAAACAACAAATAAAACAGTAATGAATATTTTTCTATATAACGGTATGTGTTGGTGAAAATGATAAAGACGAGACACAGCGATACATATAGCATATCCAAACAATTCTATCTATACACAAGTATGTACATATATATCGTAAATTGTTTCATAAATATCGTAGCATGCACTAATGGTACTTGGAAAGCATTCGGTTGTTAGAAGAGTAAAAATTATTTTGTTAGTTTTGTTATTTTCAGCTCGTTTTGCTTATTGGAACGCCGCTCTCGTAAGCGAGTGCAGAGAGTATAATACGCATTCGATATGCTGAACAGATGCTTATCTGTGTAAATTTGTTAAAAATTGCTTATTTTGAATTGGGTGAACAATGGGTTGGGAATGAACCTTTAATTATATAAAACAACTTTAACTTATAAAAAAATTGTTTTGGACATTTTGGATACGTCCATTTTAAAAATGAAAAAAGAATACAGCAAAATAAATACTTAAAAAGCGAATGCATAAATGGGTTTAGAAACATACTATGTCGCAATGTGTGAATGGGTCTGGCTAAAACTAAGGGTTTAGCTGGGCTCTGAACTCTATGAACAACAGTTAAATCAAGTCACTAATGACTTCCTTTGTTCCTTTATGGGAACAAAACTAACTATGAGTTTTACCTTCGTGAAAAAGGTGGATCTATTAATGTGGTTAAGCGAATATTTCATGGAATATTTTCTACGGCGATAACAGAGTTCATTATAACACCAGTGTTTCTGCTGCAACTTTATTTTGAACTAATTTACTGTGGTAGCCTCTGTCTTCTAAGTAAAGTACTCTGAAAAATATTACTCCTGCTTCCTGTAAAATGAGCTTTGAACAAGAATCGCGGATAGAAAACTAATATTATCGCCAGAGAATAATAGATTTGCTGATAGCTACACATATCTATATATCTGATTTGAGGGCATACATATATATAACAAGAAAAAACTAATAAGGAAATTCTCTTTTAAAAGCGACGTAATTTCTCTAAAGACTAAAATTGCTTGCTTGCTTAGAAAAAGGCGCCTTATCAGCGAGTATTGTAACTGAAGTGATAGAAGACTCTTAGGGATCATGTGACGTATTATGAAAAATATAAATAGGAAGAATTCCAACAAAATTAAAACGTTACCAAATTTCGAATCCTTTTGAATTCGAGATATATAACGTCTGGTAAAGAAATACATTATATCTTCATAGTTAGAATAAACGGAATAACAAGTTATTCAACTTGTTGGCTGTTTGAAGGTCATTTCATAATGTCACTCTCATAAAAATCTTAAGCAAATAAYTTGGGCAGTCGATTTTTTATGAAAATGCGAATATTTTGCCCGAGATAAGAAGAGGTTATAATCACTTGCTGTTATATCCGGACCATAAGTTGGATGCATAAAAGTATCCCAACAAAATTCCCGTCACTATGTTGTTGTTGTAGCGGCAGAATTCTGCCGAGTTGACAATCCTTGACCGGATAAAAAATCCGGAACCGTTTCAGTTAATTGAACGGTTATTGTCCCTATCAAAATGTGTGGCCTGGCGTTATAATGATGGCACACCATTTCTCCCCTTTTGACCAAAAATGGCTGCTTCTAACCAATGGCTTCCCACAAGCGGTCAAATTTTCACAGTCCAGATAAGTCGCTGCCAATTATAATAAATTTAAAGCAAATACCAAGAGGCTTTTTATTTACTGGCGTAGACATCGCTTACGCTGTTATAGGCGAACTTACAAGATCGCGCCACTCGTTGTTCCTTTTCGGTGTTTGGCGCCAATTGGAGGTTCCAGCTGTAGTCAGGTCCTTCTCCACCTGGTCTTTTCAACGAAGTTGACCATCTCTGGATTCGCTGAACCATGAGAATGTCGTCGTATATCTCGCACAGTTCATCGTTCATTCGACTGCGGTATTCGCCGTTGCCAATGCGCAAAGAACCATTAATCTTCCTTTCTCTCGAAAATACGTAACATCAACTATTAGATGTTATCATCGCCCATTTGGTATTTGTTCGTCTAGAGAAGACTTTACTTCTTAATTGCCCACTCAGTCCGAAGTAGCACCTGTTGGCAAGAGTTATCTTGCGTTGAATTTCGAGGCTGATGTTGCTGTTTGTGTTAATTCTGATTCCAAGATAGACGAAATTATCTACGACTTCGAAGTTATGACTGTCTACAGTGATGTATAAGCCAAATCGAGAGTGAGACAACTGTTTGTTTAATGAYAGGACTCATTCACTAACTGACCCATTTGCTTCGCATCTTCATCCAGTCTRGAGAAGACAGAACTAACCACGCGGTGTTAGAGGCTAATGMTAGTAATATCCACTTTATCGAGTAGTCAAACAGTGCTGAGCCTATCAATCACAAACCCGTTTTAGAATTCTTTTAGCACCAAGCCTTCTCTACGACTTATATCGATCGCACTCATTCAACTCCAGATACAGATTACTAAAGAAATCTACTGCAAAAATAGTGTATTTCTTTCTACTATGCTTTTTACATTTATCAACTAGAACAGGACTCTGCAGGCAAAGAAAACTTCGAATCTTATATGAAAGCTTTAATCACTGAAACTCGCTTCCAAAACGAACTCAATTTTTATTTTCGGTACTTAGTAGGGTTGTGTTGGTAGCCTAGGTATGCATATGGTCTCTACAAGTGCAAGTGAGTTTTAATTAGTTTTTAAATTATTTTTTATTTAAGCTAAGAGTTTATTTACAAACGTATGGGGATATTTTAATTAAAAACTCAACGATTTAAAAATAATAGGAGCAAGACTAGCGCAGCGTGTAAGTACTTAATATACATAGTATAAATTCAAACAATTCGAAACGATTTTASGTGACGGGAGAGGGTTTCTTTACAAGTGTTCACAACGTACAACATACGAGTGTTATTGGCTGGAGCGGGGATGTGTTAATAATGGGATAATGGAATTAAAAATGGAGTAACTTTTGAGTAGTAATTGTATATATTTATTATCGGCATGTGTGAGAGAGAGAGAGAGAGACAGACAGAGAGAGAGAGAGGAGTTTGAAATGAATTGCATAACTTTGAATTGAAATTGTAATTGTTTATTGAAAATTCAAATGGAAATGAASAGTAAATTATTTAGCAATGATTTGAACACCACTTACAATTTTACGCTTTGGCTGAGTGTGGCGCTGAAAGACACATGCCGGTTGCAGTGGCGGCTGCTGCTTCAGTGAGCGAGCTAGCACTTTCAACATGGGCGCGTTTGCGCGTGCGCGGCGTTATACAACAGCGTGGTKGTGGTGGGGAGTAGCGACAACTCGCAATKCAACTTGTGACTTTTGACTCTGCGCGATTAATATATGTAATAGTTTGTTATTTCAGTTTTATATATTAGACATTTTTATTTTTAATTATTCAGTTACATTTTAATTGTAGTTCACGGTTATTTGAGGTGTGCAGGTTATGTAGTACACAATGTTATTTTTTGTTAATTTATATCAACGCAGATTCATTGTCGTTTGATTAAATATCAATTTTTGTTATTATTGTGGAATTTCATTTGTTGACATTCATTCGGTGTATTTTTATTATGTTCATATTTCATTTTATTTCGTTTTAAAACATGGAACAATACAATACAACAACAATAACAACAATTATTATTATCTTATATATCATTAAAATAAATCACTTAAATATATGTATGTATGTATGTATGTATGTTTGTATGCAGTATTGGTATGTGATTATAAGAAAAAGTAACGAGTTATACTAAAAACATATATAAAGAAAAAATTTAAGAAAATACTTAAAATTAATAAAATAAGTGACTTAAAAAAACAGTAAAAACGTTAACTTCGATGTACCGAAGGTCGATTCGGCACGTTTCGCAGCAACTCGGCCYAACGTATAGAACGACTCATCGAGYTTTTAAATTCAAAAACAAAAATCTTCAAAAATGATACCATTGATTGAGGGTTACTCAATGGCCAACGTTACGCGCCTTGATTGATGTTTGAAATTGAAACTCATGATCTCGAGAGTCGTCGTATGTTCGTGAATTGGGCTGAGCAACAACTTGAAAATGATCCGGTTTTTCATGGAGAAATCATCTTCAGTCATGAGGCTCATTTCTGGCTGAATGGGTCCGGCAATAAGCAAAATATGTGATATTGCTCAAGCAGCAATCCACACGTACTCCATGAGTCACCATTGCATCCCGAAAAAATTACGGTTTGGCGCGTTTTATGGGCCAGCGACGTCATTGGGTCGTACTTCCTCCGTGATGATCAAGACCGGCAAGTAGTTGATGAACTTCGTACGAATATAAGCCGATTTATGCTTGAAAACCGTTGTAAATTGGATTCAGCGTCTGGACTTCTGCAAATGTGCCCATRGTGACCAGGCAAAAAAAGTCGAGTTCCATACATAATGGCATGAATRTACTTTCACAGGAATAAAGAATTTCATTGATATCCCAAACCGTTTTTGTTTTATTAAAAAAAACTTTTGCTCTTACTGAAAAGCCCGTTACTAATAGAGATGAAAGTGACTGCATAGCCAGTAAATTTGTGGAAAATATAATATCTGATTTGTTTTTGTTTTTATTRTTTTTTCGGYTTATACAAAATTATTTTAAATCATAGAAGAAATTATACTAAAAKTGTGAATGAATCCACAGTATGTTTGT